GGATTCGAACTGCCAACCTTTTGGTTAGCAGCTGAGCTCTTAACCACTGCGCCACCAGGGCGCCTTATTGAAAAGCTGTTGGGAGGGTGAGGAGGCAGTCAGGCCTGGGACAGCCTTGGGGAAAGAATAGGAGGTTGGCCCTGTGAGGGGCTCAGGGAAGCAGAGCTGCTGCTCTGGGGTGATGAGCTAGGCCATGGGGCAGCAACAAGGAGAAGGGCTATGGACATATTTGAAGCCTCTGGGACCTGAAAGCTGGGAGGGATTTGGTGATTTGGGGCTACTTTTTCACCTCTCTGGGCCTTCCCTGGGAAGCAAGAGTAAGAAGACTTGACCTTCACACAAGCTGGCTTCTGTGGCCCCCCGGTCAAAGGATCTACAACACAGCCTTATTCATATGACTGTTTCTGTTGGCTTTGTCACAATCTGATGACCTTCACACTTGTTTCTAACTTCCTCATGAGTGTTATGGTTACAACACTTGACCTCAAAGTCCTAAAGTGCCTCTTTTCTTTCTGAGCTACCCAGACTCCCCTTGTCTGGCCCCCCAGCAGAGACTTGGCACAGATCACAGAATCCCAGCTCATAAGATCACATTGCAACTGGCCATGGCGGGACTTCTTTCCGGATTCTATATGTTGATAGCCTGTGGAGTGCCCTCCTCCTGAGGAGCAACAGAGATTCTATCCTCGTCTTTCTAGCATGCACTGAGAACCCCCGAGACAGATTCGCCACTCAGGAAAGATGGCCCTGTATTGCCAAGACCATGGAGGAGACCTTTAACTTGGGTGCCCAGCTCATCCTGTGATCAGTTGTCAAGGGGAGATCTGACCAGTCATTTCTCCTTCTGAAGCACGACAGAGGAACTTGAGGTCTTACGAAAAGACCACATGAACAAAATGTTATTCCTGCAGAATAACTGGCCTTGGTGTGCAGATAAGGTCAAGTGACCCCAAGAACACTGCTATCCCTCTCTGAGCCCCAGTTTCCCCATCTGTACAGTGAGGCATGAAATGGATGGCCTCTAACTGCCGCTTCACGGGCCAACAATCTTTGGTTATAAGTGAACTTATGGGTGGAGTTGAACATTTTACAGTCAGGACTTTTGCATGTTTTCCATGGAGCTCAACCTCCCATGTTCTCTCACATGATGCCACTATTATCTCTATGCCATGAGTGGCATTATATGTCTACCCTGTGTGGTGCAAGGAAACTGTGAACAGTTAAGATTACCCATAGCATGGAGAGTGTGCATGTAGTGACTTTGTGCTGGTAGGGCTGAAAAAAGCAGGTGCCAGGCTGCCCACAACCCAAAGGCCGTGTTTAAAGTCAGGACTTTATTTTGGGACAAAAAGAAACTATGAAAATGTTGGTTTTTCCCCCTCAATCTACTTTCTTTTGTTTTTTTGTGTATGTTCTTAACAGCAACCACCACAACAACAATTTATGTTTTACTCTTTTCATATTTTTTCTTTCCCAAATGTCATGCTCTTAGTGAGACCTACCCTGACGACCCTGTTTAAATCTGCAATCCTCCTGATACCTCTCGTCCCTCTTACTTTGCTTTATTTTTTTTCTATAGTACTTATTACCTTAAAGCATACGATTTTATTTACTTATTTATTATCCCTTTCTCTCCACTCAAGTGGAAGCTCAATGAGAACAGGGATTTCTGGTTTTTTTGTTCAGGAAGGCATCCTAGTTCCTAAAATAGTGCCTGTCACATAGTAGACTGTCGAGTGAATATTTGTTGATTGAATGAATGAATCCAAACAGGCAGCTGCTCTGTGCTTCATTGCTTCAGAGGAAGGAAGTGGCGGATGAAACAGAAGCAGCCTCTGAGATGTGGTGGTTTTGTTTTACATGGGAGTTGTGGCAAGTTTGAGACCATTTACAGAAGTGAGAAGAGAATTTGTGGAGAAGAAGAAAAGCAGGGCTATCTGCCCTCCCTCCCCCACCCACTCCCATCCCTAGGCTGCTTTATTCTGGAGGAAGGAACAAGAACTGTTGATTTGAGAGCAGGAGGGCCAGATCCAGCTGTCCAGGAGGGTCCCTAGAGGAAAACCTCAAGGGATATGGTAGCAGGGTGCTCCCAGTGTGGACAAGGGGCAGCAGAGACAACAAGAGGCCTAGCAGCCCAGGACAAAGATGAGCAAACCCAAGCGTGACCCCTGCCTCATGAATTCACAGACCCGGGGCACAGACCAGAGACAATCAATCACATAAATAAAGATAAGACCCATTTACAGGGAGCTTAAAGGAGTGAGAGCTCCTTCAGGAAGCCCTAGTCTTGAGTTGTGAAGTCTTACGACAACTCAACCAGAAGAGAGGCAGAGTGGTAATAAGACCCCAGGGGAGGCAGCCTTCA